GCTCACTTACCGGCCGCAAATGAATCCGGGAAATAGCAATATACCGGACAGTATGAAATAAAATACTATTCTGTTCCAAAGAATAGGTACATATTTAGGTGTTCACTTACAATAATATTAAACTATACTATAGGTAGGTAACTAACATATTAAAAATTGTATACCTATATATCCACTGCCCCTCATCTCCCGACTTTCCCCACTACTCGACCACGTGCGCGCGCTCGGTCGTTTTTGAGCATGTTTGGAGGAGTTTTTCACCTATTTCGCATCATTTTATCGGAAAATTAGAATATATTTTGTGTAGTATTACACATCTACCTTTAAAACCCGGCTGAAAAATTAAAATTGGACCACCTGCAGAAACTTTGCAAAATAGTGCACCAAAAAATTCAAATTGCAATTGTGCCAAAACTAATGGTCCGACAACACCTGCTTTAAGCACATTTAAAGTACATATAATTCACTACTTTTGTGCACAGGGTCTACAACTTAAAAAATGGCGGAATAATAAATTTTTAAAAAAACGCTAAATTTTCCGATTATTCTGGGTTTTCTTCGTTTCTAGTTGTCCGATCGGATCAATCGACCTCTTGTTTTAATCGTATTTCAATTCCCTACAAGTTGTCTCTTTATAGCATTCAAATTGCTTCGTTAGTTTACGTTTTATACGCAAAAAAACTAAAAAATGCGTTTTTTGCATAAAAATGTTTATAAAAAGTTAAATGGTAAATTCGAGTAGGAAACATATAAGCATATATCTACAGACTGTCTTTTATATCATGGCACAGTCCGTTTGCTACTACTATTTTTGTCACAAAATCACTGATTTAATGCTCTATTGATTGGCCTAATAGTCAGAGAGCGGACAATGTGTGTCTTTAACCCGAAGAATAGGTCAAATTTTGGTAGAGATGTGTACGCGTTCAAAAATGTATTGTGTATAAACTATGCAAAATATAATTATTATGTATAGCAAATATATCATATTACCCTTGCGAAGATTTGTACCCTTTATTTAAAATCCATAAATCATGTGAACAGGTTAAATAACGAGAAAATAATTAAGTTAATTTAGTTCTAAAGAAATGAAATGACACTCGCGCCCATCTCTAGTCCATCCGTCGACATCGGTTGCGTTTATCGAATTCCTATTGGTCAGAATTCAAACTGCAGCCCTGTTATGAATGGATCGTGAATTGGACTATTCTATCATGTCCGTCGCCTGATGATATTTGTTACATTGACTCCTAATTTCCAATTAAAAGA